TATCGCCTGTGACGTCGACGCAGTTCCAAATTAATGTTGTTTCTGTTTCAGATTGCTGCGAAATTAATTTGCACCAACAGAAGCGGAAGCGGAAAGGTAAGATGTCGTTTTTACTCTGCTTTAACTTTAATTTAGAATTTAGATTCGTTTTACTTTTGTTAAGAAAGGTCGCTGCTTTTAAGTGGTGCGGATTCTTTTGTCGCGAGGAAACGAATAATAAACAAGAACTGTTTTGACCGAGAGAAAGAGACTTGTAAAGAGTAATTTTTGAGAAAAATGAAGTACGCGTATTGTTTTCGTTGTTTAATAATAATTAAATTGAGGTCAATGTTTTAGGATTTTTTAGTAAAACAAACAGATACAGAATTTAAAATATGTACGTATCTATTTTATGTAGTCTTATGTTATTTATATATATAGTATGCTATTTATTTGTTTATTATGTTTTTCAAAGAATGGTCTAGGGAATTTGAACAAATTAGACAAAGAAAATAAAGTCCTAAAACACACGAAGCATTTTCTCAACACTTAGTTTCTGAGTGTGTCGAGATGACAACTATTTGTGAAATAAACTTTGGTGTGACTGATAGTGGAGATGGAAAACTAAGCTCGGTTAAACCGTCTCAGATACTGGCTTTCGAAAAAAGTCCTGAGACTGTAAACTCAGTTAACAGCGGCAACCAAAAAGTAAAGATGCAACAAAGCAATGAGATTTTTGAATGTCCAGAGCGCGGAAGAGAGATAATATCACGTAACAGGATTTTCAGTCACAGAAAAGCTCACGAAAGAAAACACCTTGCGTAACCATTTTCTGATGCGTGCTAAATACATACTCGTCAGCCAGTAATGTCAGTATACATAGAGACTGTATGGTGAGTTATAACTTATAACTCAAAAAAGGGGATATAATAGATCTATAACAATATAAAAATATAATATACAGTAATTCCTGGACAAAATTATAATATAATAGCTCCCGTATATAGCGTTTAACGCCTTGGGAGTAGCAAGGTACACCTTGCTATACTAGAGCCGTTCGGTATACAAGGAAGGTAATGTGGCTAGCACTACGCTTCAACCGCCTATTATTACCTCAGGATTGTGAATCCCAAGTACTCATTTAAGGCTGAGTCGACCTAGGTACAAAAACTATTTTTATTTTAATAAAAATAGTCGGCTGATGAAATTCCGGGTGGGAATCGAACCCACACCTTCAGATTGGTAGACGAGAGCCTGTACCTCTACGCCACCGGGCACTTCCGGGACAAAATTATCCCTCTCGTAAGTAGATTAGGTATATGAATATTTTCAATTTTTTACTTCACACTATTATTTTTTTTTCTCGTTTTATAAATAACGCCACAGTTTTGGCGCCCAACGTGGGGTCTTTTTCTGACGATTCCATATTTGAAAAGAACATCAGAAAAGATCAGGCTACTAACCAAACAGTATACGATTCAAACTGTTCTTAAGT